ATATATATACACTTACATACAAATACATATACTTACAGTCACACACATACACACATATATACACACATACAAATATATATACAACATATATACATTGATTATATACACTTACATACAAATGCACACACTCACACACTTATATATACTCACAAATACAGACACACTTGTATATAAAAATACATACAAATACATATACTCACACACTCACATATACACACTCAAATGCAAACACACACCCATACATGTACTCACGTACAACTACATACACAACCACCCAGAGAAACATTCACACAGACACATTCATACATAGACACACACATTTGCTCACACACATACACATGGACACATGTATACATGCAGACACACATTCACTCACACAGACTCACTCACACATACAAACATACACTACCAGAATCTAGAGTTTCATAGCTCAAAGGAAGCTCAGAGACCATGAGGATCTGATTCATTTTAAAGAGGAGGAAAGTGAGACTCCAACTCTAGAGCTGAAAGGGGCTTTAGAAATCACTTGGGTCACAGAAGAAAAATGAAGCCAAGAGAGATGAAATGAATTGCTGAAGGTCACAGAGGTAGTATGAGGCAGAGCATGGATTTGAATCCAGATCTTTTGACTGTAAATCTACCACTGTTTTGCCACATATCCCAGTCCTGGCACAAAGTATGCACTTAATAAATGTTTTTCCATTTCATTCATTCACTCCATCTTTGATATTCTTCCTAATAAACCACACGATACCACCAAAAAAGAAAGAGGCGATTTTTACCTCGAACTCTGTTCCGTTCACTAGACCCAGCTTGAGAGCCTGGCTGGGAACCTCCCTGGGAGCTAGGCTGAGAACTTGGCGTGCTGGAGCTGGAGGAGCTGCCACTGCTGGTCCTCTGCAAGGGACTTTCCAGGATGGGCTCAGTTCTCCGCAGGTCAGGGTTGCTGCACAGACATCAGATTGAGAGATGATCTAGGTTACAATGACTTGGTGAGACAAACAAAACCCCTCTGCTGCTAACATGGTGTTACCGGACTCTGAAGTTGGTATCAGGAGAAAGGAAAAGCCACGTGTTCTGACCTGTGCTATGGAGGTGGCAAAAGGAAAGAGAATGGGCATTTCTCCTAGATGAACCTGGGCCTTCCATCCTGCCTGCGGTAGACAGACCGTGGCTCTGACCTGTGATGGCTGTTGGTGAGCCATAAGGGTCGATATACCTTTGATTCTGTCCAATCAACTTTCCCCACAACACGGACTGCGTCCCTTTTTAAATTTCTTCTTGATCAGTCATTTTTCAATTGTGTCTGACTCTTTGTGACCCCATTTGGGGTTTTCTCAGCAAAGATACTAGAATAGTTTGCCATTTCCTTTTCCAGTTCATTTTACAGATCTGGAAACAGAGACAAATAGGGTTCAGTGATTTGCCCTAGTAAGCGTCTGAGGCCAGATTTGAACTCAGGAAGATGAGCCTTCCTGACACTAGACCCAGCCCTCTATCCCCTGCATCTCCTACCTGTCCCCTTTTAAATTTATGGTCTTAAACAATTACTCAAGGTTCAGAATGGTTAGGTCACCTGTTTAGGGTCACTAAGCTAGTGTCAGAGGTAGGATTTGAACTCACACTTCCTCCCTCTAACTTTTAGCACTGTTTAGCCCTTCAGTCTCATTTTAAAAAATTAGCTTAGAATGCATTTATTGCATGAAATAAACAGATTAAAAAACAGGCTACTGAGGCAATAAATTTATTATTCTCTGATCCTTATTTCATTGATCCTATGATTCCCAAGGGGCTGGCTTACTTCAAATTCTAATAATGTCATAAAGCTTGAAAGGGTCTCAGAAGTCATTCAGTTTGACTCCCATTTTGCATATGAGAAACTGAGGCCCCAAAAGGTCACAGGGTCCTAGATATCGAGCTCTAAGGGACCTTAGAGGCAATCTAACCCACCCCCTCTTTTTGAAGATGAGGAAAATGAGGTTTAGAACTGAAATGACTTTCCCAAGGTCACACAGGCAGGAAGTGGCAAAGATGGCTAGAATACAGGTCTTATGACTTAAAATCCAGTGGCCTTTTGAATATTTCACACTGCCCTATCCCTCCGAGCTCTAATACCTATTTACTCCTTCACTTTTGCCAAGGGAGCTGCCTTCTTGTGAGAATATTCAATCTAATCCTACTTCTCTTGAAGGGAAAGCAACTTAGCATTAAAATTCTCAGTTGTCAGAGAATAAGTGACAGTTATTTGCTAAGGTCACTCTCTGGATTTTCTATTGGTACCAAACCTTACTATCTCATTCCCCTAAAGAAACTACCAATCCACAGAATTCCAAGGCAAATCCTCCTAATACTCACTATTTATACCATTAGGCTAAGAAACATCCTTTTCAAAGAAACTCGATTATCCAATAAATCACTTCCTCCAAGAACCCTACACGAACTATTTTGGCATAACTACACACTCTCCCTATCTTTCTCTTGGTTTCATATTGTCATTTTTCTCTAATAAAGAGCTCATGAGGAATTTGCATAAGAGTAATCAAATTAGTGGGTGGGCAGGAAGAGGCCAGTCCTAGGGATGCCTTGGACTGCCAACTACCAGTATTTCTGAGGAAGGTCAGTCAAGCCAACGTAACTCTCTCGATGTTTTCAACCAATTTCTATACTTGCAGCAGAATTTCCTATACTTGTTCCATTATGAGCAAGGTGCTAGAAAGCAAGAGAATGAGATGTTAAGTTGAAATACATTTGTGTGAATGAGTCATAGCTGAAAAGTCTCCCTACTAAAATATTATTTAGTTCTATCAAGAGGACCAAGTGATTTCTCTGGTTTGGTGAACATTTTTTAAAGTGCCAATTATGTGCTAGACACATAGGAAACACACACAAGAACAAAACATTCCCAGCCCTCGAGGTGCTAATATTCTACTGGAGAGGTGCATGAAAACAGACCAATTCGTATATGGCATGATGGAAGGACTTGGAGAGTATTGGCAGCTAAAAGGAAGAGGGAGGCTATTGGAGAAGAGGTGGAATCTTGAAAGAAGGCAAAAACGGTGAAAGGTAACATGAAGAGGGAGTGTATTTGGAAGGCAGGGTGCACACAAAGGCCAGAGATGGAATGCCTAGTTCAGAGAAGAGGTGACATTCCTGTTTGGGTAAAACACAGAGTCCATGAAAGTGATGCATGAAATTATGGTGAAAAGGTAGGCTGGGGCCTACCAAGTTTTTAGAGGGATTTTAATGTCCTTTAATGGCAGACAGAGAACCTTGTGTTTGGTAATTTTTCTATGCCTCCCTTATCAACTCACTATCCCAGTCTCTACATTGGCTTTTCCAAACCTTTTCTTCCCTCCTCAGATCCTCCATGGCTCCCTCTCCTCCCACTTTCTCAGCTGAGAACCTTGCTTCATATTTTACATAAGAACGGCAAGGCCATTTATCATGAGCCCTTTCTTTTCTCCTCTTCTTTATCTCCTATCACTCAAGTGCCTACTGCCCTTCTCTCCTCCTTCACCAGTCTCACATGCTGAGGTGACTTACTTCTTACCAAGGCTAACACTGTTCAGATGATCCCATTCCTTCCCTCCAATAGATGGTCTCCTCTTTCATCCCCAGTGTCACTTATTTTCAGTCTGTCCTTATTGATTCATTCCCTGCTGCCTACAAACATGGCCATGTTTCCCTCAGCCTAAAAACAAACAAACAAACAAACAAACAAACCTTCACTCAACCTCCTGTCTGTGGCTAGACTCCATGACAAGGTCCATCTACACTAAGTGCCTCCACTTTCTCTCCTCTCACTCTCTTCCAATATGGCTTCCAACGTTATCATTCTAACGAAACTGCTCTCTCCAAAGTTAACTATGGTCTCTTAGCTGCCAAATCCAATGGCCTTTTCTCAATCCCCATTCTCCTCAGCCTCTCTGCAGCCTTTGACACTGTTGATCACCCTCTTCTCCTTGGTGCTCTCTTCTTTCTAGGTTTTTGGGAGCACTCTCTGCTGGTTTGTCTCCCTTGCTGGATCCTTATTTAGGTCATGCTCACCACCATAGGTGTCCCCACAAAGTTCTGTCTTGAGTCCTCTTCTCTTCTATGTCATCATTTCCCCAATGTCATGGTCCTCTTCGAGAACCGAGGACAAACCGCAACTCTTGTCTATGTCTATACTACTTCACGTAGTGATCTCATCAGCTCCCATGGATTTACTTACCATCACTATGCTGATGATTCTCAGATCTATTTTTCCTGCCCTAATCTCTGTTGATCTCCAATCTTCCATCTCCAGCTGCCTTTCAGACATCTCAAACTGGATGACCAGTAGACAGACACTCAATATGTCCAAAATTAAACTCTTTGTTTTCCCCTAAACCCTCCCTGTCCTTCTATCTTTCCATTCAGGCCACTATGATCCTCCCATCCCTCAGGCTACCAATCTAAAGTCATTTAGGATTCCTTACTATCTCCCACCCCACATATCCAAGCTCTAGCCAAAGTCTGTGGATTTCACCTTTACAACATTTCTCAAATACATCCCCTTTTCTTTTCTTTCTTTCTTTCTTTCTCTTTTTTTTTTTTTTTTTTGGCTAGACAGTGGGGTTAAGTGACTTGCCCAGGGTCATACAGCTAGTTAAGTGTCATGCGTCTGAGGTCAGATTTGAACTCAGGTACTCCTGACTCCAGGGCTGGTGCTCTACCCACTGTGCCACCTAGCTGCCCCCCATACCCCCTTTTCTACTCTGACATTGCCCCAACACTGGTACAGGTTCTCATGAGCTCATATTTTAATTTTTGCAATAACCAGGTGGTGGGTCTGTCTGCCTCCAGTCTCTTCCCACTCCAGTCTGGCCTCATTTAGTCACTAAAGTGATTTTCCTAAAGTGCAGGTCTGATAGCCTCACCTCCTCCTCAGTCAACATATTCCAGAGGTTCTAGTAATTCCCCATTGCCTCCAGGAGCAAATACTAAATGCTCTGTTTGACATTCAAATACCTTCTTAATCCAGCCCCCTCCCACCATTGTAGTCTTCTCATCCAGGCACAATGGCCTCTTGGCTATTCCTTGAACAAAACCCTCCATCTCTTGTCTCTGGGCATTTCCCCTGGCTGGGTTTCCACCCCCCCCACCTTAAAATCCTATTTCTCCTTTCCCTGGCTTCCTAAATCCATTTGGATGCCAAATGGCAAGCTCTATCAATTCTTCCTTCATAATGTCTCTTGCCTCTGTCTATTGTTCTCTGCTGGCCTTGCTCTGACTCTAGCTCATCACCTCTTGACTTTCGTCAGAGTATCCTAATGGGTGTCCCTCACTCCAGTCTATCCTGTTCCACCTTCATCTTTCATGTAAATATATGAAAACTATGATTTTATTAGTGTAAGGAATTCCCAGTCCCTCCACCAAGCAGATTACGACCTACCTGTGACTTAGTAGATAGGTCCTACGGGGTAGACTGAGGCACAAAAAGGTTAAGTGATTTTCTCAGAGTCACATAGTTAGTATCAGTGGATAGACCTGAACCTAGGTCTTCCTGACACCAAGGTCAGTACTCTACCCATTATGCCATGATCCATGGTGGTGCGTGTCATAGTATTGTGGACATTGCATTTCCAGAGAACCTGAATTTTAATACCAGCAGGGTCTAATTGTTCCTTACAAAACTTGCCAAATAATCTTCCTAATACACGGGTCTGAATTTGTCAAAACGTAAAATCTTGAAGTTGGAAACAACCCCAATAAGTGGTCATTTGGCCTCTACTGGAAGGCTCTTAGTGTTGGGGAACACACATATTGGGAAGAATGTGGCTACGTTCCTTTTCTTCTGGAGAAAAAAAAATCATTATAGATTCCTGACTGTTGTAATTCTCCCATTAGACTGTAGCTCCATGAGGGCAGGAACTATGTTGCTTTTCATTTCAGGATCCCCCCTGTGATACGTTACAAGTATGG